GAATATTCGCTATATTGGACATTTTTGGGATAAATTTCGTCTCACATTAATTAATATTGTGAAATTTTGAATTATCTAGATGGCGATACGTATATCTCGATCATAATGGAACAATTTTAGATAGGATGGAATTAATTTACCTCGTATGCGCACTAGAGAAAGCAATATCAATTATAACGTGACATAAACTACAATAAAAAGAAGCAAAAGAAATTATTTTAAGTCTGATCCGGACGAGTCATATTCCACTTCGAGCCTCGCGTTTAAATCTCAACAATGTGCATATTTAGAAATAAACTCGATTCAATGGCTTATAATTCAGCCGCCCTAAAAGCAATTCGTAATAAAATCCATAACTCGCGACACGCGGCTTGTAATTATCATGACAAACGACCATTTTATAGCAAAGCTTGAGTTAACAATTTCTACGGGCCGCCTACAGGATTCTTTATGACGGGCAGTCGGTAAGGGTGTTAACTGCACATCTTGCGAATCGAAGGAGTATCCGTATCTCTCGTATGTCTGATCGGAAACGGTCGTGGATGGGAGAAAGAGAGAGATCGAGTGATCGAGACAGAGAGGGAGGGATCGTACAGTAACAACGTCTTTGTCAGCCGTTCGAGCATTCTTCGTGAGCCCGACAATTACATTCCACGCATCGCTTTGAGCTGTGCCCAGCCCGCCGCCGTATTCTGCCCGGCCACACATCGACACGATTTGCTCCTGGAAAATTTCAATACGCTTTACAAGGTGGCGGACAGTCGCTACCGAGATCAAAGGGATCGTGGACGTATTTCGCGTTTCGCTCGTATCACGCCGCTGTCAGGGAATTTGCCCTTCGCTCGCCTTTGATTCCACAAAAGAAATTTCGTGCTGGGCTTGTTGTCGACGGCGACGCTTCTGCTTATACAATCTTCTCTTTCTCTCTTTCAGGGAGAGGGAAAATTGGCGAAACGCGATGGAATTACGCGTCCACCCCGACCGTCACTCGGAATCGTTTCTTCGCCGATGTGACGTCTCATTTCGTTTGAGAATTAGAGGAGATCACGTTGGAAATTTACAGGAAATGTTCTTTGTATGAATCTTTATACCATGTTTATTACTGCTCTATAATTTTTACCATTTTATAACTTTACGTTAAAACAAAATAATTAATTGATTTGAGACTTCTTTTAAAAGAAGTCGATATGTTTTTTTTTTTAAATCATTTAAAAGTTTCTTTCTTTCAAATCAAATTAATAAAATTGAATTATTTTTACAATCTTCCAATTCGTTAAGAATAAATATGTATGCCATCGATTATACGATTATCATTACAGATAATCAAACGAAAGCAATTGCACCCCAAGACCCGCGCATTATACAATCAACCCAATCCTAATCATCCTCATTCTTCTTAATGAACTCCGCATGAAGCCACTTTTCGATCTTCTCATACCGTAACCAAACTAATCACGTCTAAGAATTTCCTTGTGCACATCTACTTTCGAAAGATCACATGTTTCCATTCCAGAATATCTAATCTCTCACGAGAATTCTCACAAGTCTCGAGAAATCGGCCTGACCAACCGCATGTGCACTCGTCGAACGGACTACGTGATAACAACACGAGGTCATTGAACCATTGTTTACATGTATAATGTTATTGTTGCTGTATCTCTCGCATGTCCGTCCGCTGTAATGGAACAATAATGTGTTTATTCGTCTCGAACACGTGGACAATCCACAGTTACACGTCTGTCGCGCGATCGGCATCGAATCAATGCGCAAAGATTCAATGTCACATAATTTTTATCCAAAGTGGGAAAATATATTGTTATTCAACGGGGATTATCGTGATGGTTTGAATTCTGTGAAGAGAAAGAAAGATGATTCAGCCTCGTCACGCTATTTATCTCCTCGTAAACGTATGTAACGAGCACAAAGGGTATTAAGCAACGGTTGTGAATCGTCGAGCATTTTTCCACGAGATTTCTTCTTTTTTTTTTTTTTCTTTTTCTTCCTCGTCGAATCGTCATCGATGTCTGGTTTGAATAAAGATAAATCGTCAATCATAATGCTTTTTATTTTGCATTATTCTTCGAATAACGGGTCTTCCGATCGAACGATACTGGCGAGATGTTTGGGGATAATGGCACGTAGCTAAAGTTCGAGTTAGACAGTTTAAAATAGTTGGAGCCATGGTGTGCTTAGGCGACTTTATCGCCTGATGAATTATAGAAAGCTGCGAGAGCTTTCACAGTACATAGTGCAAATTTTATTCACCCGTATCGGTGAAATATGCGATTTGAAATTCGAATGGGTTTGTTATTTAATTTCTTTGCAGACGCAATATCATTCGCAATGAGATACGGACGAAATATCTCGTGTGCTTAATCTTCAATATTTACGATCGGATTTTGTTTCATATCGTTTCTTGTTTCGGTAATTTTTAAATTATAAAAGTTTCGAATTGTAATACGTTACGTTTCTTCGTATTTTCAACAATAATATCTATAATTCTCCATATTTCGAAGTAAATATTTTTTCCTTTATATCAATCGTGAGGTATATCGTGTAATATTCCATTTTTATGAAGCTAATATCGAATATATCTTATGAAATCTGTTAATACGTAAAAAGATTTCAAAAATTTTCGTAATCCTTTTAACGAATGTATTCATAAAAGTCTGGAAATTCGAGTTTAATCCTCGCCACATAGGAAAAATGGCATACAAAACTCCGTCTAAAATCGTTTCAACGTTTAATTCAATTCAACTTTCAATCGTGTAATCCATTCCCACCGTGTCATATTAATAGTGCAACAACATCGCATCGCGAGAGTTGTACCACCCACTCGTTTCCGGAATTACACCGCGGAAGTGTTAATTATCATTCAAACGGGCGGCGAATTCATTCGAACGATTATGCTCCCCCGTAAAATTCGCGTAACGCCGACCCATTTCCGCAAGAAACCACGATTTTCGAGCGAAAATTATGCGCCGTATTATTTGCGTTATTCAGGTGGCACAAATAAATACGTCGCCCATTTAGCAGGGCGAACGATGGTTGTCGTGCAAATAAACGCCTCTATTATTAGTATTCTAACATCATGTCTCTGATTCGAAGCGTCAAATGGCTTGCGAACGGAGCGAGTGAACGATATCTCGCGGCGACCGCCGCTTTTCGTGTAATGCTTCGTTTCTTTCTATTTTCCTCTCCCCCCTCTCCTCTCCTTTTTATATTTCGCCCGTTGATTCAGCCGGGAGTCTCTTCTTCCCCGACCGCTTTCTTCGCGCCCTTTTTTCGTTTCCTCCACCCTCGGTTTTTTTGTACACATCCACTCGTTGGTTCGAGCCCCTCCAGAGGGAGAGAGAGAAGGATAGATGTATAGGGTGTCCCAGGACGGATGATATAAACGGGCAGGGGATGATTCCGATATGCAGAATATATGATTCCAAAAAATATGTCGAATGAAGGAATAAAGGTTTTTGGTTTGGGACTACCCTTTCGAGAAGATTGAGAATGG